GTGGTTTGCTTATTAGGATTCTGTGCTGGTACAAAATGTAACTAGATTGTATTTTTAATGAATGGAAACTTAATTTTTTGGGGGAATATAGAGGTTCTATCGGTAACTAGTTTTGGACTGTACATGAAAGCAGTTTCACAAATATGTTCAACATTTTAAGACTACAGGGTTCAGATACGTTTGTGAAGATTAAACATAAACATTTGGCGATTAGAAAATAATATGCAAGGCAAGTTCTCGAAATTAATTTATTTCTCCCTCTGTCAGCGATTTCGTGTCTATATATATTTACTCTTGAATCTCAATTGAAAATTTTTGTTTGAAACAACATTTGATAAGAACCGTTCGGTTCATGAGACATTAATATGATAATATTTAACATTTTGCGCAATTTTTAGGCTACACGTATATTTCCGCGAGATGTAAGAATCATTTCTTCACTCTGGTATATAAAAAAAGGAAAGTCAGAAACGTAAAATCTGGCGTTAAAGGAATTACCTTTTGACGGAGTTTAACTCTGTCAATAAGAAACGACGAGATTTTTATACAAACTGAGGTGAAAATTGTAATTTTAAAAAATTAGGAGCTTTTCAAATGATTTATGAAGTTGCATAGCGTGTCATGCACGGTTCTGTGTGATGGATTGTCAGAGAAACGTTTCATCAGTGTCGCATCCTCCGTTACAACAACAATTCTATGTTTAAAGCAGCGGACCAGTGTAACGTTTTACTTACATTCGTCACCCTGTCCCTCAGAACAGGACGGTTGAGTTTCTTTCATTCTTTCCTGAGACCAAGAATATTTTCCTCGTTTGATACATAGGCCAAGAAGCACCCCCCCCCCACACACACACACGGGCACTAATTTTTTAAAAACTAATAGCCAGTTTTAGTTATCTTTAGCCGTGGTCTACGCAACACGGAGTTTTCCTCCGGGGCTTCCCCGGTTTCTCCGTGACATCCCAACAATTATTCCATTCACACACAGAAGAAGGCAATGGCAAACCACTTCTGGATCATCTGCCAAGAACGTATATGAACAGGTCCCAGTCCGAGAAAAGGATGGAAGGATCCTGTTCATATGGACCTGTCGTCAGACAGAACACTTAAAAAATAAATAATAAATGAAAAATTATCAGTGTTCTGATCAAGTATAAATTTTATTGAAATGTACACAAATTACTGTAAATACATGCTATTATTTTAAATTTTCTTCAGCAATAGCTTGTATCTGGCGTTATTCCTTCGTGGAATACTTAAGTTTTGTGGGAGGACTTTAAAGCCAGTTGCATGGCGACTCTAATACTTAAATCAGCAGAAGTAAGAATTATGACTTTTTCAAATCCTTGGGAGTGAAGAAAATAAATGAGCTTGTAGCAACTCATGACAGATTAAATGATAATTTTGCGGGCCAGGTTACAAGTGATCTCGGGCTGCCAGTTGTTCCACGCTGACTCAGAGAATCATGTCTTCGGCTGTGGTATGCAGACCACATTTTGATACCCATGGTGTTCGGGTGAAAACAGGTCCAATAAGAAACTGGCACTTTATTTGTTTTTTAGTTTATTTGCCCAAATATGGAAAAACAAATGTAATGAAACATCACCAAAAAACTACAGAAATCATAATTGAGTTTTAAGCTCTTAGATATATTTTACACCTGATGATGGTTTTATAAAAACTGAAACATGTTGTGTAAATGTTCCGAAATGTAAATCGATCAATCGATAAGGAACATGAATGATATTTTATTATCTTAATTATAAGAAATTTAAATAAAATTATATTGTGATCAGACGGATTAAAATAAATAATTGATATAATATTCACAATATGACGCAACTACACTATAATACTTCCTTAGTTGCATAGGTTTTAATACTAGCGTCAAGTATTAGGGAGTTTGTAAATGGTAGATTGTCATGTAAGTAGAAGCGGTCGTGGCCCATCTTACGATATTTTTTTTCATTATTTACCTGCAGCAGCTGAGGATAGCCAACGGCATTAGTTAGGATATCGGGTATTTGGTCAATAGTTACCAGATTAAGCTGACGATGTTCGGACTTGAGAACACGCCATCCTTAATTACGGCAAGTCGGGCGAAATACCGTGTCGAGATTAGTTGGTTTCGATTTTTCGATGTCGATATTGATGTAACCAGGAAAGTCTACGTTCAGTTTGAGAATACTTATTTCGTCAGCTTTTGTTACATGAATGCTTTCACGTGTCCATAAACTTATTCAAGGCTAGAGGTTGAAAATTGTTCTTTTTCTTTGTTGTCATTCCCATGTTATGCAACACTTACCACAGACGAGGCCCTGACGATCGAGTCATGGCTGTGATACTATTAAAAACCATCACATATAATGTGGAGAAATGTCGCTAACAACAATTAAGCTACAGTAAGACATAATTGAATCTTAAGTTTGTAAAAATGTTTTTTTGACATTTGAAATGACCTGTAATTAGTGCTGTAGGGGCAACTGTAGGTCCATTAAACATTAAAGAGTAAAAGGTGTATTCCGATTTTAATTACTTCTATATACCGGATTTGTACATCCCTCACTGGCCATTATGAATGTTCAGCAGCAGCAAACAGCCATAGTACATTTGTTTTGAGTTTCGTTAAGTACATGCCTTACTGAAGAAATTACATAAGCGTTTAACAGCTTAACTAGGCTTACAGAGTATATTATAGTTGCATGCGTGCTACATGCCCCGCCGATCTCATGCTTCTTCATTTGGTTGTCTTCATTTTATTAGGCGATGAACGCAAATAGTGTAAACCATGTAGGAGTTATCTCCAGGCCACTGTATTCAAACACCTTCGATCCATCTTTTGCTCTTATTTTAAGAGGTCAAGTTTTGAAGATGGCTGTCTTCTGGGTTATTGCGCCGTGTAGTCTGGTAGAAATTTACAGACGGTTCAGAGGTCCTTGCTGCCTCCTGAAACGTCGGTAAACTTCTACCTGACAGCCCGGCGCAACAACTCAGAAGACAACAATCTTCAGACTGACCGCCGTGACAACCTCAAATCCTACAGGGCAAGTTTACCCTGGCACAAAAGGGGTAAAAATTTGTTTATGTGTATTTCAATATCAAGATGATAATCCACTTAGCAGATACAGTAGATTACGGTTAATTGTCCCAAAATGTTCTAGTCCCGATGTGTCCCAACTAGCCGGAATCCACTGTATATGGATGAAACATTCAGGATAACACCAACTAACGAAACGTCCTGTGGGAGAGGTAAACACTCCCGCTTTTTCGGGAGGAGGTTCGGGTTTAAATCTCTACCCGGAAGCCGGGTATCCTAACTGCGGGTTTCATGGTTTTCCTCAATTCCTCCAGGCAAATGCCAGTAAAGTACCTTAAATTAGTCCACTACCGCTTCCTTCCATCTTTTCCTATTCATTATTCACTCTCCTCATTCGGCGCTACTGAAAAAGCTTCCTTGAATAAACTATAAATAAATAGTAACTATTAATGCCTTCATTTTATAATTTCGTTCAGAAGGACACATACAAAATGCCCTTGGATTAAAGTACAAGCCGATTATTTCGGTGACATGCAGACACGATAATGTGAAAGCAGGGCTGACAGAAGCGAACAGCGTTTGTCACAGAGCTGGAGAGCTACATGTCTTACGTATACAATTACGTTCAAGTGCTAATTATACAGTCCCAGTATAAAATGCAACGTAGTTTTTGTTCTTAATAATTTACATATAATTGCAATAAATTGCTGGCGGATGATGTAGGAGAGAGAGGCTGATAGGATTCTTCCTTCCCGACTCAGTTCATCACTCATTATACCTTTCGCTTTTGCCTAGGAACAATGACGACAGAGGTTGACCGCGGCCTGTTGTGAAACTGCATACGCCTTGCTGCCTTGTAGTGTCTCAGAAACTCACACGAAGCTTCTTAAGTGGGCGCCATTGGCGAGAAACACAAAACGTTTCTGCTGTGTCTTTATATTTCACGATAAATTAGCCCTGTGGCCGATTGTAATGAATTCGCACCTTGTATACTAATGTTACCGACTTCGAATCGAGGCGTGTGTATCGAATGTCCTACACTTTATCATGTATGTTTTTATTCGCAGTAGTAATTTCTTTATAATTTAATTTCGGGCGGTGTTTTTGGGAATCTAATACCTGAAATTTGATAAGGGTTCGTGAATAAACCTTGTGAGATAGGAGGTGAAGGTGATAATGCTCTGGAATTTGTGATCATATAAGACTCGCCGGTGGATGTCAGCGTATCGGAGAAACATACTCTACACTACCTACGATTGAGTATCTGGCCAGTCTGCAAGTTATTTCTAGAGACATGTACTACGTCTTCCTCATTGTCTTTTCCTGATGGCAGAGGCAGCCTGCCGCCTATACGTCGTATTCATAATCTCTGCTCCAGAGAGTGCGTAGTGTCCAGGAAGCATTCTTGCACCGTTTTCAGACTCTAAGGCTACATTTCTGAAAAGCAAGTCTCGCAGAAAGAATAGTTTAAATTAAATAAGTTCACACGACAACTGCTTCACTTTCTGTTCCGACGAAGGAAGTACTTGATTTTACAATAAGTCGGTCTCAAAATAATTTCGTATTTTTGAATCTGCCTCTCCCTATTCCTGAGCAGGAATTTGAGATATATTACCATCTCGACCAGCAGATTGTCAGTGGAGTCTTAATGCATCCAGTTTCAAAGTTCTAACACCAGGAGTCTTGTTTAAACGGGCGCTAGCCTTTCAGGAACAACACGTCGGTGCAGTATTACATTTAACGTGAAGTTAAATGTATCATTGATGAAGGAATTTTAGTAGGCCCACGTATGCAACTTCAGTGGTCTATACCCGGTTTCGAAACTTTACCCTAATGCTTGAAATAGTTGTGAACCTTGCCGAAGGCCAGTTAATTCGGTCCAAATGATCCCTTTCCTAAACGTTGTGCAATGTCTTTGCGCGTGCCGTGATTGTGTAAAGTAACAACTGGTTTCATTGTTGCAGGACCGGTTGACTGGTCACGGAGCCATCGCCTCGATCGGTTCCGTATCGGCCGGTACTGGTGGCTCGTCTCCGTTCAGCACCGCCTCGCACCACCATCACCATCACCGGTCGAACGCCGGTACCGGCGGAGGTGCGGGAAACGCCGGTGGCATGACTCCCACCTCACACCACCA